TTGTAATGCTGTAATGTTCTTTCTTCACTCTCTGGAGTGTCAACAGAAATAACAATAGCATATTTATTGAAAGTTAAGAACATATAACTTTCAAAATTTTTAATAGTCTTGAGTATATTGACAATAATCTCTTCATTTTCTTTCACAAAAAAGAATTTTTGTTGTTCATAATTAGTTTGTAACCAGCTCTTATAATCAATGTCAACCATTTTTCTTTTAATGATTATTTTTAGTTTATTTTTCTCTTTAAATATTCTTGTCTCTTCATTTCTAACTAAAAAATGGGGTTTAGTGAAAGGTATTTTCACCTAAAACAATTGGTTACATTAAACGAATGCCAACAACCTTTTCTTTTCAGTTTTTTATCATTTGGGTAATTTTTTAATTTGATAATAACATTTCACTATATTCTACGACAGTTTTAGAAAAATCTTATCTAGAAACACACTAGTTTTGTTTTTCTTTTAACCTCTTGAGTCATAAAAAGGACATTTCTTTCGTTTTTGTGATAAGTCTTTATTTTCTGGTTTATGAAAAGGTATTATTCTATCTTTAATAATCCACTTTTAATTAAAACAAAAATTCTCTTTTGACAGAGATAATAACTTTCTTATAATTATCACTATTTATTTTTTATTTCTCATTTTAAAACTACTAAAAAGCAAAAAAGTTTCAATTTTAAGATCAACTTTCAAGTTAATATCTCCATGGATATAAATAAGAAACATTTCTAAGAAAAATTTCAGTTAAAAAAGCTATCTTCTTTAATAAAAAAAGAAAAGAAAAGAAAAAAGAAACTCAAAAATAAAGAAGAAAGAAGATGTGGATATGGGAATGGTTTTGGAATTTATTAGCTGATTTAGGATTAGCATATAAAACGGGGAAGATGTTATTTTTAGGATTAGATAATGCAGGGAAAACGACATTATTACATTTATTAAAAGATGGGAAAGTGTCACAACATATTCCAACACAACAACCAACAATGGAAGAGTTAGTGATGGGGAATATCAAGTTTAATACATATGATTTAGGAGGACATACACCAGCAAGAAAAGTATGGAAAACATATTGTACAGAAGTCGATGCGGTGAT